TTTGTCAAGTTTTTCTTTAAAGTTCTTTTTTTCCTCCTGTAATGACATGCATGTAATTGTAGTTTTATTCTCAATATGGTCGTAAAGGAAAAGTAATTAATTTCATTTAAAAATTCATATTCTATAAAAAAATAACTTCATTAATTAGAAAATAAAGTTGGATTGAATTGAATTCTTATTATTTTTAATACAAAATAAATGTCAAATATAATTAATCTGATCAATTCACATATAATTTTCAAGATTATATATAATCACCGATTCTAATTTAGTGGTACTCATCATTGAGATAAGCATATGAAAATCAATCGAGGGAATAAAATTGGGACCATTTAAAATTTGATACGGATGGTCTAGAAAATTTTTAATTTGTAACTTTTCAATGATAATTTTTTTTGAATTTGTAAATTTTTGAAATTTTAATCTGATATGGATTACGTAGGATGAGGAAAAAGCAATTATGCATATTTCTATTCCTATATGTACAAATATATTATAAAAGTAGAAGACCAAGCTAAGCTTATGTCTTTACATGTCAAGTGTCCATAAAAGCTCATTGCTGTGATTATAGAGAGCCATTTCAGATCAAGGTTTTCAAAAATATTGTTTATGTTGCATAACTGGAAAACTGCCTGCGTCAATCCATGCTTGATGAGCAACAGTTTCAGAGCAAGCAGCGTGGGACGTTTCTGTAGAGGAAGCAGCAGCAAATGTAGAGACGTCTCACAGGGACCCCTAGCCAGTACTAAGTTTCAATAAAGAAAGGCACAGTCGGTCTCATCGTATTCTCTATAATAAGTCATTGCCTTGGAGCAAAGCAATTATTGCAGACATTGATGGCCTTAATTCAGCAGGTGCTTGGGTGCAAAGCAGACCAATCTCTATAATTCTCTGCACTTCTTCGGCACTATAATCATAAGGATCCAAGGTATCATCCCCCAACTCTATGTGTATGCCTCTCTCATATAGCTTCCAAGCCTGTCAAGTGAATAAGAAGGACAAACAAGACAAAGCAAAACTTTGAATGGTTAAAACAGTCCTGCATTATCAAATTTTCTCCAATGAAATTGCCAATTCTAATTAATCATAGAATTTTCTTACTTTTTTGAGGGGGAATTCGCTTTCAAAATCACCATGAATCTTCAATTCCTTAATTCGTTCACTGCTAATAATTTCTAAGATTATAGTGCCATATTTATAAATATCAGTTTTTTCTAATATTAACCATGAATTACATATTCTAGTACAGTATATCCTCTTAAAATATATAATGTTTATGTTGTAGTTGATGCCTCAAATTAATGCAAGAACAATATTTTGAATATGAAATAGATATGTACAAGGTAATGTGTTGTACCATGTGTGCTACCAATTGAATTCTTAGAATATCACAAAAATCAAATATTTTGACTTACAATGTTCCAGCAAATTTTCTACTAAGATGAGATTGCTCCTCAGGTAAAAGTCTTGCTAAGCCAAATAATCAGCAATTTTTGGTTGAAATGTTGTTAGTCTTTATATTTCTATCTATAATACGAATATGAAGTTCTTCATGCAGGTAAGCTAGACCTCTTGCTATTCCTAAAATTATACTGTACCCTTGCTTCCGATTAAGAGAACTTTTATTTTTACCTATTTCAAAAATTTACAAACCATTGAAAAAAAGAATAGCATTTATGCATAAAAAAAGGTTTTGATAATTCTTGAATGAAATTATGACACGTGAATGAATTATTGCTGGAGGAGCTAGGGATATATTTGTCCGTCGAAAATATATCCAAATGTCATCATTTTATATTAAAAAAAATCAAGATAATTAATATGCAAGTCTTTGGAGTTCCATCTAATTTTAATCATGTCCTTATAGTTTTTTTTCCTCTTTTTAATCAAGTCTCTATAGTATTTTTAATCACATCCTCATAGTTCTACTTGATGTTTAATAAAGTCTTTTATAGTTTTAGGTGACTGATGAAAAGAAAAAAAAACTACATGGATATTATTAAAAACTAATGAAACTATAAGTACTAGATAAAATGGGAAAAAAAACAACAGGAATTAAAAACAAGTACAACTATAAAGACCTGACAAAAAAAGAAAAAATTACAAGGACCTAATTAAAAATTAAGTGAAATTATAAAGACTTGCCAATTAATTACTCTGAAAAATTTGATACCTAAAGATTAAAGAACAACATATCATCTTTGTTGACAAACAAAATATACCAAATACGAATTTGTCAAGACTGGTGCTTTTCATTTATTCAGAAATAAGAAATTTCTCATTGTTTTTACTGCAATATCCAAAAACCAAATAAGATTCCAGTGATGAACAGTGATGAACATTGCTTATAAGCTTTACTTTCAAATTCTTCTTCCACCTTCTTAAATTGGCATAAAGTATTCCTATGGTCCTAAATATAAAACCCATTCGTAGTGTAATTTATACTACAAAATGAGTTTTATATTTAGGATCGGAGGAGTAATTAATTTCTTCACAGCACTTTTCTATTCTTCAACGAACCCTATGTTGAAGATTAAGAATGTCAATCATTGCTAGAAGTTTCTCTCATTGTACAACTCTATATGCAAGTATCCCTTTAGAGACATCCCTGCTTTAAAACATGACCTATAGATCAAAAGATTGAAAACCAAAATATATAGTTACCTTGTATACAACACCAAATCTTTCTTCTCTAAGTTTATTCTCTGCACTCACATTTTAGTAGCAAACTTCAACTCCTTATAACTTAAATTAATTGGGCCTTCCAACTTACTTAATCCATTTATGTCATAGTTTATTTTGGTTATTATACATATTTAGGTTATTTTGTATACTAAGTTACTTAGAAATTTTTAGATGTTCCTTAAGGTGAATACGTCCCGGATCGCACACTCTATTACGTTAATTTGGTTTATTTTTAGAGTAATCCCAAGGTGACAAATTACAGACTTCATTTCAATGACATTTGCCGTAGTAAAGAATACAGAAAGCCCCAAAACTGTTTCAAAACGACCTTTAGCTTACCCTTATATCTTACAAACCTCAAAAAACTTTTAACACACCTAAAGATCAGATTAAATTCAAGTTTGATCAACCCTAAATCCTTGATTAAAAACCAGAATGCCACAACTTTACTCCTATAAAATATAGTTTGTAGTGAAGTTTCGACAAATAAAGTAAGGAAAATAATGAAATTAATAAGGATAAATGTGGGAGGAATATTAAATAAGGGAAATGAAAATATTGCGGGCCTGGATTTTAGACCAAAACGTAGTTTGTCATTGATATCATACATGTGTCCATCGTACAAAATAAAATGAATATCCCCCGCCCCCCCGGTGGGATCCAGTCAAACGAGTCGTCCTTGTTTTATTAATACGATAAAATGACAAAAGCAAACCATTTATTTTTTTCAATATATAATTATATATATACACACGACAACGTGTAATTAATTAAATTAATTGGAACTATATTTGCTTACATAGAGTATCACACATTATCCCTCCTTTGCAAATAGCCCGTAAAATATATTATGTCCTACTTGTGACCTATCATAACATGTCTTTAAAAATTAAAGAAACATGATTTTGGTGACTTTTAGCATTCTAATTCCCTACACAATTTTTCATATAAATTTATTAATTTGTAAATTTAAAAAATACATCTCTTTATTTTAGATACATTCCAACAATCTTTCTGGTACTATACAAGTGAGCACAATAACATTTGATGATGGGCAGGAAATAGTAAAGGTAAAAAGGTGTCTTCCATTGACCCCTAACTAGTTATAATTAAGACGGGCATAGAGGGTCTCATATGCGATAAGCCATTGTTTTGGAGCAAATCAATCACTTCAGACATTGTTGGCCTTAAATCAGCAAAAGCTTGGGTGCAAAGCAAACCAATCTCTATGACTTTCTTCACTTTTTCTGCTTCTGAGTCAGTAAGGTCCAAGGCCTGATCTACCAACTCTAAGTGCATGCCTCTCTCATATAGTTTCCAAACCTAACAAGTGGGATTAAGGTGAAATGGAATAAAACAAGTAGAAAAGACAAAGGAAAACTTCCGTTATTAATTTTTAGAAACATTTATTAGTAGATTTTTTCACATAAAAGAGGAACTTTTTTCAAAAGAGTTAAGCTGAGTTGTTAAAAAGTCCTACATCTAAGTCTTTTCAAAATAACTCTTCTTAGATAATTATAGCAAATTTCTCACTTTTGGTAGGAGGAATTCATCTTCAGCATCACCATGATCCTTGAATGCTTTGCTTTTCTGGCCAGTAATGATTTCAAGGAGTACAATACCAAAACTGTAAATATCAACCTTCTCTGATAATTGACCATGAATTGCATATTCTGGTGCCGTGTATCCTCTAAAAAATACATAATATTTAAATGATATAATTGATATTATACTAGCTCAAATAGGGGCAAATAAATATTATCCAAACAAATCTCAAATAGAGTTGTGCAATGCAAATATTGGATCATTTTGACATACCTATGAATATTCTTTTTGCAAGTTCATGTTATGAAGACAAAATTGGAAAGGTTAGCATTATTTGTAGGTGTACTACTAGAAGAGTTGTTATTTTTTAAGCATAGATTTTATCAAAATGATAGACAACCTAGCTATGTAATATAATAGAAAGTTAAGGAAATTATAGAAATTTTTTCATTTTAACTTACAATGTTCCCACAAATTTTGTACTAAGATGAGATTTGTCCTCAGGTAAAATCTTGCCAATCCAAAATCAGCAATTTTAGGTTGTAAATCATCATCTAAGAGAATGTTGTTGGTCTTTATATCTCTGTGTATGATACGGACTTGAAATTGCTCATGGAGATAAGTTAAGCCTCTTGCTATTCCCAAAATTATAGCGTATCGCTGCTCCCAGTTGAGATGACCTTTCTTTTCACCTATTTGCCAAGTTCACAAAATTGAAACATATTAAAAAGAATAGCGAGAGAAGAACAAGAGCGAAGCAAAAATGATTGTCAAAATATTACCACAGGGAATTGATGTGCGTGTATGTGTGCATTAAGTTATATATTAAAATGATGACATATGAGTAATGACCTGTTTGTTGAGTAAACGATTCACGAGTCATATATAGTGTTACTAATTAATTAAGAAGCATAACAAACAAATGCTTAATAAACTATATATAAGTTTTGTTAGTTGATGCAAGATACCAAATATGAATCTGTCCAAACTATTGTTCTTCATGTATTCATATACAAGGATTCTGTCACGGCCTTTACTACACCATCCCAAAAGTTGAATAAGATTCGGATGATGAGCATCACTGATAAGCATCACTTCACTCAAAAAATCTTCCTCTATCTTCTTGGAGTGGAGTAAAGTTAACTTCTTGACTGCAACCACTTTCCCATCCCTTAGAGTGCCCTATTCATGATGATTTAAAATTCCAATCAGGAAATAGTTATATAAGTTTTTCCTCTGTCCCATTGGAAATCTAACTTTAATTTTTACATTACATGAATCTCACTTAAAAACATCATTCCTTTAGAACATGATCTACAATTATTAAAATACATGAGATCAAAATAAAGTTATGCACCTTATATACAGCACCAAATCCTCCTTCTCCTAGTTTAGTTTCTTCACTAAAATTCTGAGTTGCAAACTTCAAATCCTTATAATTGTAAGAAATCAGACCTTTCAACATAGTTGCAATAGTAATGTCCCCTATATATTGATAAGAAGAACACTTGTCAAAGTATCTTCATAAACTGAAAGAACCAATTAGGGATCCATCCCTTCATGGAGATGAAAGTATGTTTACCTCTGTGAATTCTCTTCGAGTATTTTGATCGTCTAATACAGATAAATAATATCAGGAGGATCATAACAAGAGCAAATCCTCCAACAACTCCCCCGATAACGGCCCCCTTTTTACTTGAACCTACAAGACAAGACTAGATAACTCGTTTTCAAATAAGTCATAATTTTTGCATATTAAATGTTCCTCTAAAAAGTACAAAGAAATAACACATATCAATAACGTTTTATCGGTAAAAAGAAACATGTGTCAATATCAATATTGGCACTTATATCGTTTTCAATGAGAAACAGGTAGTTTAAAAAATAAATGTTCACAACTAGATATCTTCACGATGAGCATAATAGATAATAATTATAAAAATTATGAAAGATTGTACTAATTCTTTCCAATATTGGATAAATGAAAAAATTCAAATGGAACCTAATAAAATAGTGGGAAAAGATTGAAAGAATAAAAAAGTTGCATGAACCCTTAGAGAATTCTCAATGTTTGCAATTCTGTGTAAATTTTATTTATAATAAAATCCCTTAATCGATGCTGGGGTTTTAGTACACAAGCAAATCAAATTGTCATGCTGCAATAATATTTATATATATATATATATATTAAAATCTTTGAAAGAGCCATACCTTGTTTGCCCAAGGAAGTAATATCAATGGGCTGGTAATAATGTGGAAAGAAGGAAGAGGTGGAGTATCTCATGAAACATCCATCAGCATAAGCCCTACCATCCGACTTGGGAAGACAAGTGGGCATAATATGTCATATCCAGTGTTCAAGCAATTGAAACAGCCGTTTGGAGTGACAGTTTCAATACATTGAGCAAAGCCATAAACAGTTGTACCATTATTATCAGGCAATTCTATCTTTGTGGCTGCAAAAAACCCTTGCTTTTTGGGTTTGTTGTTTGCAGATTCTTTAGCAGTTGTTGCACAAGTGAGGTAAATAATGTAATGGATTCTCCTACAGTTTGATTTCCACATGATACGGCATTGAAATCCTCCGTTGTCTTCCAAAAGAAGGCATTGGTCTCGTACCTCAATTAACAAAATGTATGCCATATAAATTTTCCAAGATTAGTAAGGGTTTATCTCATTTACATATCAAACTTATAAGATGATATTTTGTAAATGGATTGGGGGTGTGTTTGAATCAACTTTTGGAGAATAAGTCATAATTTTAACCAAAAGAAAAAAACTTTAGATCAAGTTTTTTATATTCATTATGTCATGGCTATGCGTTTTATTTTTAAATATTATCATTTAATTAAAAAACAGGATACATTGTTATATATAATTGAAGACCTTGACATAAAAAATATGAGAAACTTAATATAGCTCCAGAAGAGACCTAAAATCACAAATCATATAAATTAAGCTGTTTATATACGATTAGTTCTATGAATAAGCACCAAGAGCTAGATAGGTGGCTACACTGATTGAAGGCTGCATTATTTTTTCAGCTATTTATGTGGACTGTGGATTCAGAGAATGTAAGGAATTTTCTTTAATCTTTTAGTGGATCAGTTTAACTAATGTCCCTTCTCATGGGTACCAACCTTATGTAATGTAGATATTATGGGAGAATCTCACTCTAGTCATTTCTAAATGACTAGGATCGAAGGTAGGGGTAGATTTATTACAATAAAGCTGTGAATTCTAATAAGTTGGTTTGTAATTGGGGTTGATCAATTGACGAGTATATAAAAAAGTTTTTTTTTGGGCTCAAAACAACTTTTAATTTTATTATTATTTTAATGCAATTAAAATTTTGCTAATTAAAACAATTTTCTTATATAAGAAAATTTTCATGAAATCAAAATTTGGAAATTATTTATCATCAACTATAAATATTTATTTATCTTTGCATGCTGTCAGTGTTAACTTTAGTATCACACCTTCAACAAAAAATATATCTAAGTTATAATACAAGATTTAGTTTCTAATTCAATTTCAACTACAAATTAAATACTATACTAAAAATGGGAAGTAATAACTAAAATTTATTTTCTTTATTTTCTCTACTATTTAATTAGCATATATCAATGTAAACCACACAAACCACTCCCTCGGTTATCAAAATGAATAAATATCTTATCTATATGACTATATCAACCCCCCCCAAAAAAAAAACCATCTCCACATAGGAAGGTCAAACTGGAGCTTAATTTCTATTCAAAATAGGAAGGTCAAACTGGAGCTTATTTGCGGACGACTTGTACCTGAGGAAGCAGCCATCGAAGACAACGCCGGCACCTTGTGCCGCCGGAGGACACTTACGGACTTGCCGGGCTGCGACGTCGAAGCAGGCGACACAGTCGGGAATGGAGATATAGTTTCTACACTGAAAAAGTGTGGAAACAGGGTTTTCTGCGTTGGCTTTCCTTGCCGTCGCCAAGTACTTGTTCTCAGAGACGATATTCTCTTTGATCTCTCGAAACGTTGCGTTTACGTTTTCATGGAAGATGGATAAGTTGGGCAAGACCACTTGGTTGGCAGATGGTGTGCAGCGGGTGTATATAAGAGTGGTCTGTGGATCCGAAACGACGCCGTCAAGTGTCCACCGCGACCAGAATATGAAGGAGATTACAGAAAGGAAAATAGGTTGAAGAAGCATGTTTTATATATATGTGCGTGTGTGTAGAGGTTGGCTGCAGGTGGACAGAATAATGAAGAGGAAGAAGGAAAGAGAGGTCAAGTTGGATCTGGCGATGTATGAACTATATGAGAGATTAGAGATTGGTGTTTGAAGAGGAGAATTATATCACGGAATTAATGAGGAAGAAGAAACTGATACATTTAAGGGAAATCGAAGATAGCCATGTGGCTTAAGATCAGAGGCATCTGATCAGCTGTTTCAACACATTTGGTCATCGTTTTCTTTCCCTCAGTTTCCTCCTATTTCGTAAAATCATCCGTAACGTGGGGTTATTGTACACAGTAAATTATACAGTTTCCCCCTCACTTTAATTTGATTTTGATGTGTGATCTTTTAACACCCACACACACATATAGTGATAAAGGATGGTGATTGATCAGTGGGCGTCGTCGCTGGTCCCAATGGGGCAAATGGTGACCATTCCAAAGGAAAGAACAAGGGAAGAAACCAAGTTTCACCGCCTCTCACCAAAATGTGTTGACGGGGTTGACGTCGGGCCCCTGGAAGGATACTGTATCCCTTTTTTTTTGGGCAACGAGGATATTGGATTTTTTTTTTCAAAGCATAAATAATTCTCTTTGAAGCATTGTCAGGAATTAAATATATGTATTTTTTCTAGTGGGGATTTGAATATTAAAAATATTACTTCTTTTTTATTAATGAAGAGTGAAATATTAATATATAACAAAAATATTTTACTTATCTATTTTATTAATTCAACTAAATAATTAGTTATCACTTTCTTAAAATGAGCTAATAAAAAGAATTTTCGGCACTCAACCTTTATATTCTCAGTTGATATTCTCTGACATCTATCAGATTTCCATTTTCACTCTTAACGTGACCATCAAGACAAAAACAAGCATGTAAATTCACTAAAATGGTCATAGTAGAAAACTTGAAAAAAAAAATCCAAAAAGTGATTGTTGAATTTTAAAATTTTAAATCAATATTAGTTACTACACTCGTAAAAAAAAAAACTACATTTGAAAAGTAAATAACAATACATTTTTGTAGTAATTCCTAATTTGAAATTTTAAAATTCAACCGTTGTTTTTTTGGGATTTTTCCAAACTTTAACTTCATTAATTAAAATGAAATTAAATTGGAATTTTGGTATCACTTTTAAAATTTAAAGAACAATGAAAGATTAATATATGATTCGCTAAAAATTGTACATTGTAATTCACACATGTTAGAATAGGGAATGAAGGGCATTCTTTTGCTATTTTCTCCTCCTTTCATGTTATTGCTTTTTCCACTTTTTGATTCAAAAGTCGAAGTCACTCATAATTACACATCCCTGAAAAATCCTGTTACTATGCTGACGGTATAGAACTCAAGGCGTTGGACGTAGAGGAAGAGAAAGTGGTAGAGGTTTCTCCATGCGCTTTTAGTTAGTTTCAATCAAGATAGGCATAGTTGGTCTTATGTTCTCTAATAAGCCCTTGTTTTGCAACAAAACAACAACTTCAGACATTGTTGGCCTTATTGTAGGAGACGCTTGAGTGCAGAGCAAACCAATTTCTATGATTTTCTTCACTTCTTCTGCATCATACTCGTTAGAGTCTAAGGCACTATCCACCGACTCTAAGTGCATGCCTCTCTCATATAGTTTCCACGCCTAATAAGTGGGATTCAGATGAAATGCAAAGATATCGGGTTAGAAAAGGCAATGTGAAACCTATGTTACTTGTTGTAAGAAAAAGGTAATATAAAACTTAGGACGCTGAATGCATTATAAATTAAAGTGCTGAATGTTATTGTAAAAAAGATAAAATTAGGGTGCTAGATGAAACTTAAAAAAATAACATCAAGGTGTTGAATTACTAAAAAAAATAAAATCATCGGTAAAATTGTACCATTTAAAAGATCAAAGTGTTGGGTATACATAAGAAATGGTAAAATTGCACATTTACTCTTATTAAAATTGTTCTTTGTCTAAATTTGTGTGTAAAAATATAGTTTAAAGGACATTTTTGCCCTTAAATTAATATTCAAGGGCGTTGAATATTTTAACTTATCAAGTGCAATAATGTTTCCCCTCCATTAAAATTACAAATAGGTACTGCATGAAAAAACTTACTACCAATCAGGTCCCAAAAATTACAATAAATCGAAATTTTTTTGGGACTCACTTGGTATTCATTTTTTGTAGGGTATGTATTTGTAATTTTACAAAAATTACAAAGAATAATTTGGAAGTAAAAAATTAACTCTAAAAATAATTGCCCATGTAAATTGATAGACAAATTTTGTTACCTTCTGAAGGAGGAATTCGCCCTCTGCATCACCATCAACTCTTAATTCTTCACTTTTTCTACCACTTATAATTTCCAAAACTACAACGCCATAGCTATATATATCAACTTTCTCTGATAATTGGCTATGTATTACATACTCAGATGCAGTATAACCTTTGAGAAATGCATAACATTTTTAAATTGATCAAAATAATGGCTCAAACACAAACATGTTAGCAATATCTGAAATATATATATATATATATGCAACAGAAAGAATTGCAACAAATTTTCATGCTATATACATGGAAGAAAAATAATCGATTAAACTATTTATAGGTGTTAGAGGAGTGTTCTATAGACTAATATATATATTGTTTCAATAATTCTTTCGGTGACTTCCAGCTCTGATTCCTGTATATATAATACAAGGTATAAAATGCAAGCATTACAACTTACAATGTTCCTGCAAAATTTGCGTTGAGATGAGATTTGCCCTCTGATAAAAACCTTGCCAATCCAAAATCGGCAATTCTAGGTTGCATGTCATCATCTAGGAGGATGTTGTTAGTTTTTATGTCTCTATGTATGATACAAATATGAAATTCCTCGTGTAGATAAGCTAATCTCCTTGCTGTTCCTAAAATTATATCATATCGTTGTTTCCAGCTGAGAGGACCTTTCTTTTTACCTGGTACAAGTTTAAATTAAAAATAATAATAAAACACAATTACAACCATTAATTAAATATTTCATCATTCAATGTGATTTATTATAATAATATTTATTATAACCATATTTATTGAATATAAATATATTTAAAAAGTTCACATATACTCACACATATATTTATTATAATAATATTTATTAAATATAAAAATATAATATATATTTTTTTTGTTATAACCGAAATTTTTTTTTACTAATCAAACCGAACATCAAAACTGAATTGTTAAAAAATATAAAAACCAAATATATAACCAAAAACCGAAATAACTGAACCAAAAAATCGAAATTGAATTTGGTTTGGTTCAGTTTAGTTTTCAGTTACGGTTCGGTTTTGCTTACCCCTAGGTAATAGAAGGGTTGAGCTCCACCGAACGAGTCTTTGGACATCTATTCGTATGGCCACTATTACAGGGAATTGGCCATGGCAGTGTTGATGCATGCAGCGTGAAGATGAATTTTCCTCTTATTACATTTTGTTATATGGGTCCATATTTTGTATGATGATATTTAAAGCTTTCAATTTGATATTTTTAAATAATAAATTTATTTTTTTTGAAAATATGCTGACAATTGGAAAATAATCTTTTTATTTTTAGATTGCACCCTTCTTTTTGCCAACTGAATTGTACACTCATTAAAATAATAAGACAATAAAATCAAAATAATAAAATTAAATTAAATGTGAATCATACAAATTCAATGTGAGTGGTGGAGATTTCAGGATGAGCACTAGCCGTTCATGAGCACAAAATGCAAATTTCTCTTTTGTGGCTGTTCGGTGTTTTATGCTTGGACTGTGAAAGCGTTGTCGTTTTCAGGTCAAAGGAAAAGAAAGCGCGTCCAATTATCCAAGCATTTGCCTGGTCAGAGGGAAGACGCGTTCTTTTGTAGTTTCGTTATCGACGTGGCACATTATTATCCTTCCGATCAATCTTGCGGTGCTCTTTGGTTACACTCACTTAAATACTATATGGATATAGCTGAGTCAATTGACTGGCTCGGTTTCGATAAGGTGTGGTCCGTACATAGGAAAATATATACTTTTTTTGAGAAAATTGCTATAAAAAAATCTATTGAAATATTTATTACCTAAAGGTATCTAAAATTTGTAACACTATTTTCTCAAAAATCCCCATAAAATATTTATAGCTTAAAAGTATTTAAAATATTTATATATGCAGGCGTAACTCAATATGAAACATATTTTCAGTTATATATGTGCAAAAAGGTCTTTCATTCTGTCTATAAAATAGAATGTGTGTAACTTATGTCTAATGTGTGTAGCTTTTTTTAAAGTGTGTGCAACGTATCTTGTAAAAAATAATTATGCAAAAAAAGGAATGATATTTGAAAAGACGAAGTCAACTTGCACTACTGCAGAATGTAATGATACAGAATTGAATTTATTTTGAATTTTATGAAGTGTCCTGGTCAGTAGGCACTAGGCAGCATAGAGATATTGAGAGTTAAAAAAGTTTTTTTCAAAAAAAAAAAAAAAGATGAAATTATCCCTTTTTCTTCCTTAAATTATATTCATAGATGCACTTTCTTTAACTTACATGATTAGAGAGTTTGACTCCTGGATGTCTTAACAAGTAGTATTTATTTGAATCATGGGTACTTCCTTCTTTTAATCTGTTAAACATATTTTATTGGACGCTAAATTTTCATTCGTTTAATTAATCTTTTTCTTCACTTTTTAGTAAGGCTTAAACGTTAAATTAAAAGACGAGGGTGTGGGAGGAAGTTAGTTAGATCGAAGTACAATTTTTCGGAAACTTTGAAGTTATTATTTATTTTGTGCATTGCATTTGCATCACGAGTAAAAGATACTTTGCCTGAGATGCATGTTGAAATGGTAACATTTAAACCCCTTCAATGCACCTAAAATAAAAGGCCGTAAATAAATTAAAATTAGTCATTATATAAAATAAAAGGAGAATTTCAATTATTAAGTCTTTTTTAAGGGACTTAGTTCAGTTGGATACTTGAATTAGGGAAATTTCTTTTTAAGTACGTACCAAGGAACTTTGATAATACAGCTCATGAACTCGTGCTAACGTAGGCTTACACATTTTGCACCTAGTAGTTGGATTGAAATGCTAGAAGCTTCCGATTACTCCATATTCAACAACTATACTCCACCATTGGTAATTAATTCTATGTCATCCGTATCGTACTCCACATTCTGGAAAGGTAAAATTATCATGCTGATCATATTACATAATTCAAGGCATTACTAGCATTGGATTTAAAAAAAAATAGTATAGATAGAAACATACTTCTTCGATTCTAAATGTAAGTCAATTTTAACTAATTTATGCATACAAAAAGAAGCATTAAAGTTAATATAATTTTCAATATTATTATTAACTACACTAAATTCCACTATATCACATTAATTTTTACCTTCTTTTACCAATCTACATCATGGTCTCCATTACAAGGCATAAATGAAAAATATATAATGCTCCAACAATCTTATAAATTGACTAATAAAAGGGAACAAAAAAATTTAAAAAATGCCTCGTGTGTGTGTGTGTGTGGGTGGGTGATTAAAGGAAGTATTTCCATATACCTTTAATTAGTTTCAATCAAGATAGGCATAGTGGGCTTCCTATTCTCTAACAAATCCTTGTTTTGGAGCAAAACAACTACTTCAGACATCATTGGCCTTCCTTCTGTAGATGCTTGAGTGCAAAGCAAACCAATCTCTATCATCTTCTTCACTTCTTCTTCATCATAGTCAAAAGGGCTTAAGGTTTTGTCCACCAACTCTAGGTGCATATCCCTCTCATATAATTTCCAAGCCTAACAATAATTGACAATTAAAGTTAAATGAAATAAGATGGGGTACAACAGGTAGAGCAAAGTAGAGGTTAATGTTTTCTCAAATATTTATTTTTAATTCTCAAAGAAGGAACTAATAGCTTTACTGTAACACCCCGAATTTTATGATTTAAGATGAGTAGAAAAGAGAAAAATTTATTAAAATTATTTATTTGCCAAATAAAGGGGGAAAATTATGGAATAATGATTTTTAGAGTTTAGAGACATTTTGGAAAAGGTATTTGCCAAAAATGGCTTAAATAATTTTAATAGATAATTTTAAGAGAAAAATGGTTTATTTTCTCTGAAAATTATGGAAAAATACTTAGAGATCTATGTTTAATCTGAAAATTTTAGGATGATCATTTGAGATAGTGAAGAAGATAGTTGAGGCATAAAATCCTTAATTGGGTTAAGGATTAATTTCTGAAATTAAGAGCTATTTTCTTGAAAATTCTAGAAAAATAGTTAGGAGTTGACTTTTGACCTAAAATTTTTAGAGAAATTATTTTATGGGTCAAAGAAGATAATAGAGAAGGAAAATCCAAACAAAACATCATGTGATTTCAGAAATTTAGTGAAAGGATGAAATTGGAAATAAGAATGGTTAGAGGGGCAAAATGGTCCATGAAATTTTCTTGTATACGTGTAGCCTTCTTTATTAACCATCAGCACCATGCGTCTCCTTCATTTCATCCTTTCCACGGCGTTGAGAGAGCTTGAGAGAGACAGAGACGCAACAGGGGAGTTCGAAGGTTCGGAGTTAGTGATCGGTGGCCGGATTCTTGCATGCAATCCGTGTTTCCACCCAAGGTGAGCCTCCTGATCAATCTTCCGCCATTTTCCTTTCCGTTATCTGCATAGTTTGACTGTAATGGAGGAGAGAGAGAGACGGGGTAGTGAGAGAAAGTTAAGGAAAGGAGAGAAGGATCGGTGAATGGATGTTCTATGGCAAGATTGACATATGTGGAAGTAGTTTTTGTGCTTGTATGTTGCTGTTGTCTCTGTTTCATGATTCTCCGAACAGAGTATGATGTTTCTGGTTGCAAGGCGTCGAGTATGTGGTGTTAGGAGAGAGGAAACATGCAATACATGAATATGGAGATACATGTTGAGTTACTTCTTTGTTTTCTGGTTGTTTGAGTCTGGTTTAATTGTTGTGGAAATCAGATTTCTTATTTGTTTCTCGGTGCTGAACAGATTTCTGAGTAGGAAGAGGAGCAGCATATATATATATATATATATTCGCCTAGATGTGTTAAATGTGTGATGGTGATTCTGGGATTTACGTGAAAAGGGAGAATTGAAGCTTATAAACATATATATACACGGTTGCCATGGCTGATTTGAATTAGTTCTTGGAGTTAACAAGGAGGCAACATGTGTGTGCGCGCTTCGGTTGCATGGTATTAAATCCAGAAAATTTTCCTAGCTACTCGAAACATTAATGGGGAATAGAGGAGGTTGGTATGGGCCATGGATTAAGCTTGTATAAGAGGATTTTGGGGCTGTGTTAGATATATGTATGTGTGCGCGATATTATGATTTGATGGGCTGAAATTTGAATCTAAGTCCCAATGTGAAGCATACTGTTAGATGCTTTAAGTGTTAAAAATTATTTTAGATGGTACAACTAAGTGTAGACATTTTAGAATGATAATTTAAACATTGTTCTTGATCTGGAAATTTTATGGAATTAAGAAAAAGGGATAGGTACTGTTTCAATTGTAAGGAAATTAAGGAGAATAATAAGATGTTCAAATAACATAAGAATATAAATGTATATTTTAGCTGTTGCTGTATGAAAAGTGGGTCTTCTTTTAGATTAGCAAAAGTGGGTCCAAGAATTCAAAGATGATGGTTTAAATGTGCTTGAGCTGGGAACTAATTTGATGCTGCCATTTTATGTTTCTTGATGCCAGGAAATTGTTTTAGAATTTTAAACGAGGAGTTGAATAGAAACATTTTTCAGATTTCAGGTTAAAGTCGCTCAAGGGAATAAAAAGGATTGGATGTTTAAATGACATAGTAGTTTATGTATAAGAATTAAAAGGGTGCATATGAGGCATTACATGTGGGAGTTTAAATGTGGAGGTTGAGAACGGCATATATCTCACTGACTGATGTTTTGGATTGTTGATAGTGTTGCTATTAGGAGCCTTTTAATTGGAAGGATAGAATTTTGTCATGTTAATTAAATAAATGTTAAATGAGTTATAGGAATTTATGAAGTTAGGCCTATGCATTCGGAACTTTGGAAGCTGCAAGTTTGCAAGGAGCTTGTTGTTATAAGGTTATCTTCCAGCAAAAAAAAAAAAAAAAGCATCGGGTTAGAATCTAATATGATGACTTTAGTATTGTTTTAAATCTGGAAATTTCCAGGTTTAAGTATGGAGTCAAATGGAGAAGTTATATATTTTATTTTCATGGGAATTTGCATTGGATAAAAGATATTATAGGTATTTAGATTATCTAAATATATGCCTTCCTTGATGTGTCTCGGCCAAGTTGGTAAAATTAGGATTGAAGTTTAATTGATTTAATTTCAATAAGATTAAAATGATTAAGTATGGGAGCTCATTATTTGTCCTTAAATATAACAGACAAGAAGATAATATTTTGGCCAGTTATTAAGTAAAGTAATACTATGGGTTGAGATAAGGAAGCAAGCGTTCCAAAGATAATAGTTTAAATAAGGAAAAATTGTCCAGGATGACCAACTATTAAGTGAGGGTAGAGATTGAAAGAGATTGGGATTTAAAGAGAGTTATTTAATTTATAAATTATGTTGGATCAAGCATTAACCTACCCTTACTAAAATAATAAGTTTTGATATCTGCAAAAGCCCACCGAAGAAGCTAAGAGAAAGGAAACAAGTAAGGTTTGATTTTGAAGCAGAAGGTTCAGGTAGTAGTTCTTTCCTCCCTTACACTTGTGTATGATTGCTGCATGTCTGTTTGTGCCATATTGCTATTCAAAAAGCATGAGAACATGTAATCCTTAATTCCTTGCATGGATTTTTAGCCGTGATCACGTGCAGCTGATAGACATGGGGCAGTGATTGCCAATTATTTGCGCTTTACTTATTCAGCTTGTCTAACCGACATGGGGCAGTGATTGCCAATTATATGCGCGGCAGTGATTGCCTATTATTTGCGCATTATTTATTCAGCTTGTCTAACAGACATGGGGCAGTGATTGCCAATTATATGCGCGGCAGTGATTGCCTATTATTTGCGCATTATTTATTCAGCTTGTCTATCTGTCATAGCGCATAAATGCTTAATTGCATTAGCTTGCAAGGTTTTGTTCCATATGGCTTGTTTTGCATGTTTTATGTAATCTGCACATTTGTTTGATGGAAATTACTACTACGGAGATTCTTCGGAATCTCACCCCCCAATTTATGATGAACAGTGAAGGCTAGTAGCTAGAAGGACAAGGAGGTTATTTAAGAAGAAGATGGGCTGGTTGAAGAGCAGAGATACCTGTTATAATTCTGTAAATTGTATAGTAAAATATTCGGGCAAGTAACTTTACTTGCTTTATGGAAATATTATTTTGTATCCTTTTGAAAAAGGAGGTGAGCGTTGCTTTATTTTTAATATAATATTATAAGATTGTATAATATGAAATTATTTTAGGTGATAATAGATTGAGTTGAAAGCAGGGTTGATATTGGATCACTAATCTGTTAACTGAAGGTTTGAAACATTTGATCAACGGATTCCAATGTTAAGGAAAAAAAAAAATTCCCTGTCTTTTCCCAGGACGGAAACCTGGCGTTAGTGATTCACAGACGTTAAAATGATCCTATTAGTATATAAAAGTGAGGTGTTGCATTTACCAGAAAGAGTTAAACTAAGTTTGTTAAAGAATTCTTGAATCTAAATTTTCTTTTAAAAAAAATTGCATTTTAGAAAATTTCTAGAATTTTTCTTACCATTTGAAGGAGGAATTGACCCTCATCATCACCATCGATGGTTAATTCTTTACTTTGTCGACCACTAATGATTTCTAAGACTACAACACCATAACTATAGATATCAACTTTCTCTGATAATTGGCCATGAATAAGATATTCAGGTGCTGTGTATCCTCTGACAAATGCACAATATTAAATTACAATTATTACAACATTGTCTAAAACACATACACGCAAGTATTAAGAAACCATTTATATGAGCAATCGCTTTTCAAGTATTAGGAAACCATGAGAGTATGAAATGGAGATATGCAACATAAAAGGAATGGAGCATGTCCCACATCAATACAAATGATTTCTTGAAGCATTCATGTTATATGAAAGAAATAAAAAATAAAAAATGTTAAAACTATTTAGAGGAGTGATAGGAGTGCTGCATTGACTTGTACATAGATTTTATCTTCAATAATTTATATACAGTAGTAGAGGTTTAGAAAAGTAAACAAATATTATGTTGACTTACAATGTTCCTGCAAATTTTGTGCTGAGATGAGATTTGTCCTCAGGCAAAAGCCTCGCCAATACAAAATCAGCAATTTTAGGCTGTAAATTATCATCTAAAAGGATGTTGTTAGTCTTTATATCTCTATGTATGATACGAACATGAAACTCCTCATGTAGATAAGCCAACCCTTTTGCTGTTCCTAAAATTATGTTACACCTTTGCTTCCAGTTGAGAGAACCCTTCCCTTTACCTATTTTCCAAATTTACAAAAACTAATTTGAAGGGAATGATTAAAGAGTAGGGGCTTACATAAAAGTCATCCTCTGTTTCAACTCCAAATAGATCTAGAAGATTACCAAGTCCTTCAATAAGATTATGACGTGAGTAACTTTTCTTAAGGGCGTCAATGATATGTGGTTAAGTAAAAAAAAAAAAATCATATATCCACCTGAAAAAAGTTATGAATAATTATAATAACTACTACTTGAAAACCAAGACTTCATTATTGTGCGTTGATAGGAACTTACCAAATAGGTGCCTGTCAAGACTATTATTTTTCATATATTCATAAACAAGAATTCTGTTTTGTCCTTCACTGCAACATCCTAGAAGTCGAACAAGATTTAGATGATGAACATTACTTATCAACTTCACTTCACTCTCAAACTCTTCCTCCATCCTTGTGAATTGGCGAAAATTTAATTTCTTGACTGCAACTACTTTCCCACCTTCCAGAGTACCCTAGTAAAGACAAAATGATATAAGAATTTTGATCATAAAAGTGTTTGTCTGAATATGTAAATATGCTAAAAATCAAAGTTACCTTGTATACAACACCAAACCCTCCTTCTCCCAGTTTATTTTCTTCCCTAAAATTCTTGGTTGCCAACTTCAAATCCTTATAACTGTAAGAAATCAGGCCTTTCGACATAGTTGCAATAGTGATGCCCCCTATTGATAAGAAGAACACTTGTCAAAGTATCTTCATAAACTGAAATAACCAATTAGGGATCCATCCCTTCATAGAGATGAAAGTATGTCTACCTCTGTGAATTCTCTTCGAGTATTTTGATCGTCTAATACAGATTAAATAATATCATGAGGATCATAACAAGAGTAAATCCTACAACAACTCCCCCGATAACGGCCCCCTTTTTACTTGAACCTACAAGACAAGACTAGATAACTCGTTTTCAAATAAGTCATAATTTTTGCATATTAAATGTTCCTCTAAAAAGTACAAAGAAATAACACATATCAATAACGTTTTATCGGTAAAAAAAGAACATATGTCAATATCAATATTGGCACTTATATCGTTTTCAATGAGAAACAGGTAGTTTAAAAGATAAATGTTCACAACTAGATATCTTCACGATGAGCACAATAGATAATAATTATAAAAATTATGAAAGATTGTACTAAATTTTTCCAATATTGGATAAATGAAAAAATTCAAATGGAACCTGATAAAATAGTGGGAAAAGATTGAAAGAATAAAAAAGTTGCATGAACCCTTAGAGAATTCTCAATGTTTGCAATTCTGTGTAAATTTTATTTATAATAAAATCCCTTAATCGATGCTGGGGTTTTAGTACACAAGCAAATCAAATTGTCATGCTGCAATAATATTATATATATATATATATATTAAAATCTTTGAAAGAGCCATACCTTGTTTGCCCAAGGAAGTAATATCAATGGGCTGGTAATAATGTGGAAAGAAGGAAGAGGTGGAGTATCTCATGAAACATCCATCAGCATAAGCCCTACCATCCGAATTGGGAAGACAAGTGGGCATAATATTGTCATATCCAGTGTTCAAGCAATTGAAACAGCCGTTTGGAGTGACAGTTTCAATACATTGAGCAAAGCCATAAACAGTTGTACCATTATTATCAGGCAATTCTATCTTTGTGGCTGCAAAAAACCCTTGCTTTTTGGGTGTTGTTGTTTGCAGATTCTTCAGCAGTTGTTGCACAAGTGAGGTAAATAATGTAATGGATTCTCCTACAGTTTGATTTCCACATGATACGGCAGTGAAATCCTCCGTTGTCTTCCAAAAGAAGGCATTGGTCTCGTACCTCAATTAACAAAATGTATAACGTAACATATCAATTTTCCAAGATTAGTAAGGGTTTATCTTATTTACATGCCAAACTAATAGGATGATATTTTCTAAATGGATTGGGGGTGTGCTTGAATCAACTTTTGGAGAATAAGTCATAATTTTAAGCAAAAGAAAAAACTTTAGAACAAGTTTTTAATATTCATTATGCCATGGCTATGTGTTTTATTTTTGAAATATTAACATTCAATTCAAAAACAGGACACATATTGTTATATATAATTAAAGACCTTGACATAAGAAATATGAGCAACTTAATATAAATATTGTCTCTAACAAATGTTCCAGAAGAGACCTAAAATCACAAATCATATAAATTAAGTTTTTTTATATACCAGGTAGATTCAGGCCTGGTTAAGAGACCTACGATTAGTTCTATGAATGAGCACCAAGGTCTAGATAGGTGGCCACAATGATTGAAGGCTGCATTATTTTTTCAGCTATTTATGTGGACTGTGGATTCAGAGAATGTAAGGAATTTTCTTTAACCTTCTAGTGGATCAGTTTAACTAATGTCCTTTCTCACGGGTATCAACCTTATGTAATGTAGATATTATGGGAGAATCTCACCCTAGTCATTTCTAAATGACTAGGATCAAAGGTAGGGGTAGATTTATTGCAATAAAGTTGTGAATTCTAATAAGATGGTTTGTAATTGGGGTTGATCAATTGACGAGTATATAAAAAAGTGTTTTTTATTTTGGGCTCAAAACAACTTTTAATTTTATTATTATTTTAATGCAATTAAAATTTTGCTAATTAAAACAATTTTAAAATTTGGAAATTTCTTATCATCAACTACATTTATTTATCTTTGTATGCTGTCTGTGCTAACTTTAGTATCACACCTTCAACAAAAAATATATCTAAGTTATAATATACTAGTAAGATTTAGTTTCTAATTCAATTTGAACTACAAATTAAATCCTACACTAAAAACGGGGAGTAATAACTAAAATTTATTTTCTTTATTTTCTCTACTATTTAATTAGCATATATCAATGTAAACCACACAAACCACTCCCTCGGTTATCAAAATGAATAAATATCTTATCTATATGACTATATCCACCCCCCCCAAAAAAAAACCATCTCCACATAGGAAGGTCAAACTGGAGCTTAATTTCTATTCAAAATAGGAAGGTCAAACTGGAGCTTAATTTGCGAACGACTTGTACCTGAGGAAGCAGCCATCGAAGACAACGCCGGCACCTTGTGCCGCCGGAGGACACTTACGGACTTGCCGGGCTGCGACGTCGAAGCAGGCGACACAGTCGGGAATGGAGATATAGTTTCTACACTGAAAAAGTGTAGAAACAGGGTTTTCTGCGTTGGCTTTCCTTGCTGTCGCCAAGTACTTGTTCTCAGAGATGATATTCTCTTTGATCTCTCGAAACGTTGCGTTTACGTTTTCATGGAAGATGGATAAGTTGGGCAAGACCACTTGGTTGGCAGATGGTGAGTAGCGGGTGTACATAAGATTGGCCTGTGGATCCAAAACGACGCCGTTAAGTGTCCAACGCGACCAGAATACGAAGGAGATTACAGAAAGGAAAATAGGTTGAAGAAGCATGTTTTATATATATGTGCGTGTGTGTAGAGGTTGGTGTTAGAATTATTAGAGTTAGTTAAGTTATTGGACTTGGGCTGAATTGGGCTTTCTCTCAAAGCCCATAGCGTTGTAATAGTTAGGTAGGTTTATATATTAGCCAAGAGCCTTGTAAATGTAATTTGGATTGATCAGTTTAGTTTTTCTGAGATGGAATAAAACAAGAGTTTTTGTTCTCTCAATCGCTGGGCTTCGTTTATCATGGTATCTAGAGCCACGGTTAATCCAATCCAAGAATGTTAGCCCGCGAGAAGGAAGGAAGTTCAGGGTTCAGGGCGTGTGAATGATTCGGCCATCTTGACAGTGTTGAACAGCAGTATCTGCGCAACCAGTGTCGAAGCCATGACGGAGAGGAGAGAGAGTGAATCGCCGGCCGCTAATCTTTGCTTCACTCACCCGTTGTATCTTCATCCGTCAGATACGCAGGGTGCGGCTATTATTCCTCAGATTCTTGTTGGGAGTGAAAACTATAATGTTTGGAGCTGGGCGATGCAGATTGCACTTAGAGGCAAGCAGAAATTGGGGTTTATAGATGGAACCTGCCTCAAAGAATCGCAAGATCCGGCGCTTCAAGACCAGTGGGAAAGATGTAACGCTGTAGTACTCTCCTGGATCTTGAATTCAATCTCCAAGGAGCTGGCCAACGGAGTCGTCTTTTATCAGAACGCTCATCTCGTTTGGACCGATCTTAAGGAAAGGTATGATAAGGTCACTGGATCAAGAATCTTTTCTATCTACCGAGAAATTAATTCCCTGTAACAAGGAGGTATGTCGGTTTCTGCCTACTATTCCAAATTAAAGGAATTGTGGGAGGAGCAGTCGGCGTTGATGGCGGCGCCGTCTTGTGCGTGCTGCAAATGTGGAGCTTCGAGGAAACAGACTGATATCAATAATCAACAGAAATTGCTCCAATTTCTTATGGGTCTTAATGAATCCTACGGTGGAGCAAGAAGTCAGATCCTCTTGATGAGTCCCCTTCCTATAGTGAATCAAGCATTCGCCATGGTTACTGAAGATGAGGCGCAGAGGAGCATTGCTCAATTGTCAAGGAACTCCCCAGTTGAGGGAATCGCTATGGCGGCTAGGGGAAGAGGCAGAGGAAGGGGGAGGGGAAGAGGACCTCCTCCGGAGTGTGGCCATTGCCATAAGAAGGGCCATACAAAAGAGAATTGTTTTCAATTAATTGGGTACCCTCCAGATTTTAAGGGACCGAAAGTAAAAGGAAATTGTCAGGAAGGAATTACAAAGCCAACAAGTTCATCATCTGAGTTCGAATCAGGGTTGGTGAGCACTGTGACCCCTTCATTCACTAAAGAGCAATATGAAAAACTCCTCGAGCTTCTAAAGAAGGATGCAGAAGAGACTGTACACGCCCTTACCGGTACAGGTTTGACTGATCCCTCTCTATATACACATCCACACACAAATTGGGTTGTAGATTCAGGTGCCACCACCCACTTAGTCAGTGATCTTTCTTTATTAGATAGCTATGATATATACACTGGATTCATTAAAACGATTAAATTGCCAGATGGTGATAGAGTCTCTATAACTCATGTGGGATCGATGAACTTCACAAATGGGATTAAACTGACTAATGTTCTGTATGCCTCGAGATTGAAATTCAACCTGATTTCTGTCTCTAGACTTACAAGGGAGCATAATTGTGTTGTAGCTTTCTTTCCTGATATTTGTATCATGCAGGGCCTTCAGGTTGGCAAATTGAGGGCGACTGGTAGATTGGTAGATGGACTTTACATTTTACAGACAACAAACCAAGAATATGTTAGTTTTGTTGATGCTGTAGGAAAGAATTCTAAAAGTGTTGATATTTCCCTGTTACACAAAAGACTTGGTCATGCCCCTGTATCTGTTTTGAGGCACTTGAGCATTGTTTCTGATAAACATATCAATAGCAATAAAATTTGTGAAGTTTGCATACAGTCTAAACAAACGAAATTGCCTTTCTCTTCTAGCTGTATCAAGACTCTTGCTTGCTTTGAATTACTTCACTTAGATATATGGGGACCTTATCGAACCCCAACATATAGTGGACATCAATATTTTTTGACCATTGTTGATGATTTTTCCAGAAGTACCTGGATTTTTTTGATGAGATATAAGTCTGAAGCTGTGTTACATATTCAGGAGTTTATGGCATATATCTCAAATCAATTTTCTGCCCATGTTAAATGAATCCGTACTGATAATGGTTTAGAATTATGATCTACAGAATTTTCTTAAGAATAAGGGAATTATTCATGAAAAATCTTGTGCCTATACCCCAGAACAGAATGGTATAGTTGAACGAAAACATAGAACACTGATGCAAATAGCTAGGAGCTTGATGATACAATCCAGTATGCCTATTAAATATTGGGGGGAATGTGTGAAAATGGCCACTTACCTGGTCAATAGAATTCCTTCCAAAATATTGTGCTATAAAACCCCTTATGAGATAGTATATCACAAGCTTCCAGACTATCACAACATTAGAACCTTTGGATGTTTAGCTTATGCCACTGATTTAAAAATCACAGATAAATTCAAGCCTCGGTCTGTGCCTTGTGTCTTCCTTGGTTACCCAAATAATCAAAAAAGTTTTATATTGCTGGACATCTTTAATAAAAGACTATTTACAAGCAGACATGTTAAGTTCATAGAGGATAAATTTCCCTTTAAAGATGCTATAGGCACTGAATCATGGGGAGGGAAGACACGTTTGTCTGATAATTTTTTGTTTGAGCCGGAACTAAATGAGGAACAAGTGGCTCGAAATCCTATTTCTGCTCCTGAACAGTCTGTCGACCCTAATGTTTTTGAAGGTGATGTTATTAACAATGATGTGGTTGAGCAGAATCAACGTAGGACTGTTAGAGACAGGAGGCCACCTATTTGGGCCAAAGACTATGTTTGTAATATGTTGTTGTCTAATGCTAATGAACAGAATGATTCTGCTGTGAAATGTAGGTATCCTATTGAGAATTATATGTCTTATAAACATGTTTCTGCTTCTCATCTTTATTTTTTATGTGCCATTGATTCTAACACTGAACTGACTACTTATGATGATGCTGTTAAGAATGATAAATGGGTTAAAGCTATGAAAGATGAGATGAATGCTTTAGAATATAATAAAACCTGGGATATAATGCCTCTTCCCAAAGGAAAGAAACCAATTGGATGTAAATGGGTATATAAAATTAAATATAAAGCTGATGGTAGTATTGATCTCTTGTCGTTCAAAGGTCAAATTTAATACTCTAGATTAGGTAGGAGATGAGTCAACTAGAGGTCAGTCTCAAGGAGCCTTAATGTCTTCTGGAATTAAACTAGCTAGAAGTTACAAATTAAACTAACAGAGAAGGAGGTAGCTTCTGGAATTGGTTTCTGTCATGAATTGTTGTTTATGAAAACTGATTTTCAAAAGGAATGAGAGAAGAATAAGATACAGAAAAGAGTTTGAAAGATATCAATGAAGTGAATTCCCTTGGATCTGTGATTTCACCTTCCTTGCAACCTAAAATCAGATTTCTATTTCTCTTAGGCAATTCATCAAACAGTAGGTCTGCAATCAACTCTAATGATGTAATTAGATAATTTCCAGGATGAAGATTAACCAATTCACCTCTGATTTATCACAACAATTAAGTTCCAGACTTAAAACCAAATCAGAAACTGAATTGAAGCTACTCAGAAAAAGGAAATTATAACCTCTAAACACATCACAACTCAGAAGTAGCAGAACCTAATGAAATCTAATATGAGTTATATATCTGAATTTCAAACAAAGATTTATAACAAGATCCAAATCTGAAACACAAATACAAACTCAAGAAAAACGAAATCTCCCTTGACAATCAGTGCTCTGGATCCATCACAGCTCCTCAGGAATCAATGGCTTAGTTGCTCATGTTGATGGAGGAAATCTGGCCAAATCTCCTCTGAATCTCCATGGCAAAACGCAAGAGAAGAGAAGAAGATGAAGAAGATGAATCTGGAAGTTGAGAGAATCTGGAGAAGTGAAGAAAAGAAGAGAATGAATGAGAATGCTGGAATTCAGTATCAGATCCGTTTTTCTGAAGCTTCTGGACGTCCAGTTCTGTTTCTTTATTTTCCCCCGCCTTCTCACCTCATTCTCCACCATTTGAAGGCTTGTAATGTTGTATTTTGACATGTGAAACTTCCTTGCCTTCAGCTATGCGTTTTACTAAAGCCCAAGACATGTGTCACTCTCTTGAAACTCACTAGCCATGGAGCTATGCGTTTTACTTAGAGTTTTTCCTCACAAAATGCTACACTAGACCACACATGATTCCAGCTCTTAACCAGATTCAAAACACTGCGTTTTAACTCCTAATTCAAGATTTTTGGCTACATCTTTCCAGATTTTGTCCATTCTTCACAATACTTCCAGAATTAGAGAAAATCCCTTTCAATCCTGCAATGATACATCAAATTCTCACAGCATCATTTCTTATCAAATATTAGAAATCTAAAGTTAATTCCACATGAAAGCATTTAAATTCAATGGGAAATCACATTATTTAGTTGATCAAAATATGGTTCATCAAATTCCCCCACACTAGCACTTTGCACTCCTGGGCAAATATGATCAAATAGTTCCTGAAATCTCATCAACAACCAGCTATAAATTGAAATAGTATCCAATTATGATTCTTCATCTCAACCCAATACTCAAGAGAAAACCCAGCATAGTAAGGAATCAAATTGTCAATAAAAAGACTAGGAAATGATCTTAATTCAGCAAATTGCACAAGAAAAAGTGGAAGTATTCTCTCGGCAAGTGTTTCACTCTCCTCACTATTCCATTACAGGGTCATTTCACTCTTCTCTCTTAGCCTAGGCCCTACCATAAGCTTGACAAAACTCTAATATCTCCACCACTAAGTAACATGAGGTAATTTTGCATCAAGAGGACTTCCCTTAAGGTTGTAATGTTGGAAAGGCTAAAGGATGGAATCTGGCCACTTGAGCAAGAATGCATGCATGTGAAAACAAGACAGAAAGAATACAAACAACTCATAAATGAACTCTTCAACGGAAGCCATGATTGGAAATGCTAATGTATAGCTCTTATTGGAATACTGGAGTTATGAGATACTAGCTATAATCTTGTTTATAATTCTTTGCTTAGGCTTTTCCAAAAACTTTTTTCTCATTTCTTTTTTTTTTGCTGCTTATAGGCTCTTTTTTTTCCCTTTTTTTTTTCAACTGCCTTTTTCTTTCTTCTCTGTTTTTTTAATTTTTTTTTATTTTCACAGCTTGCATCCTAAGACAGAATTAAACAAAGATAATACAAAGTAGATCCTAACAATGAAATAGCATGAAACTTGATGATCAAATGCAATACAATCTTACTTAAGTTGGCCAGTATGATATGAAAAGAATCATGAATGGCTCAATGGGGTTAAGCAAAAGTTAGTATCAATGGTTTGTGTTTGGAGTAAACTGGGTTTAGAATAGAATGCCTCTTTCATATGCAATTTCCCAAAGCAAAAATGTGGCCTCAATTAAGAGCTAGGTCAAGTTCTAGAGGGTCCTAGTACTAAGGAGATTGCACTCATAATAAAAGGAATTTAGGCTCAAACAAGACCTTCCAACATGGGTTATTCTTCCCAAATCCAATACAACAGCTGAATAAAATCAATTCTAACCTTAATACAACATTTCTCAACCTCAAATGCTGAATCTTCCCAAGAATAATTAGGTTTCAATGAATTCCCAGTTTCTAAATG